TCCTGTCAGCCTGTCACACACTTGCTCCTACTTACTATTGCTTCCCGTCGGTGATTTGCCTCTTCTATGTGGAGGGAAGGAAGAAGGTTGTACCGTAAGCAAGTAACTAAATACGTGTAGGAAGGAAGGTTCACGAAGCAGTAGGAATTTTCAACGGATTGATCGGTCCCCTTGCATACCAGATTTGTTTCTTTTGGGTGATTCAATCATTTCCCTCCCTATAGATTTATCTTGAATAAATAAATAACAATATGATTATTGTAAGTTTCATTTTTATGTTTTTTTATTTCTTTTCATTCTTCATTCTACAATCAGGAAAGACACTATGCAAGCTCTTCTGTAGTTCCAAGACCCCGCAGTTAAGCCCCATAAGTCCTGCAACTTGCAGGTGTCCTAAGAGGCTTAATATTCTTCTGCTCTCATCAAATGTGTCCATTGTTTCGATGAAAGAGTCTACCCACCCACACATACACACATTGAGGCATTTTCGCCCCGGAACCATAAGAGGGGGAAATCCAATTGCCTCGAACAATCCTACTAACTCTCAATGATGGCAATCACTTTTGGTGGGCCCACACCCCCAGGTCTACACCTCCGTACTAAGCAGATACTTGAGTGGAATAGCTGCATACCCAACTTCCCACGACTAGCTTTATTTGGTTAGCGCAAATTTAAACGCAGCTTATTAGAATCAGTTAGACTCGAATTACTCTGCAGCTCGTGCCCCCGGTTCAAGAACGAGCAATTTGCGGTCCAACCTTCGGACGCGGCTAATCCGGCTTTGTCCCAGAGACTGAGACATCTCATTCGATCATAGCCAATCATGTTTCCAAACTGCCTCCTGAGCAGGACCCCCCCCCCCCCCCCCCTTCAATGGTGGCCACTGGAACCTCTCACTGCAGACTGCTCGGAAAGCTGGGCAAAGGATGATGATGATGATGATGATGATGATGATGATGATGATGATGATGATGATGATGATGTTCTTGTAGTCGACGATGAAGGCATGGGACCTACCTCTCAGCTGAAGGTCTGTTGAATTGTAGACAGGTACCCTGGATACAGTACTGTGTGTGAGACCCTATCCCAGGTGTACAGTAAATTAGTAACTATTTCTAGATGCGTTTTGTATTGTTTGATAGGTAAACCACTTTGGGTACAAGGGATCCCAGTACTTATTTGAGAGACTGCATGCGGAAAAACCAGTGGTGAGCAGCACTAATACAGACAATAGAGCTTTTTCAAGTACTCGTTACACAACCCTAGTACTCACTTAGTAGTATGCTAGTGATCACTCCAAATCCCTTATTTTCTGACCACGTAACTTAGATTTGTGGGTTTGGGTGCCCCGTTAGCCCAGGGCCACATTTCCGAGTGTTGCGGGTGGGTTATTTACTGATTTCTAGATTCTCGCACGAGCGTTTTGGCTAATAACCCCCCTGTAAGAGCATTGTTGATGTATGCAGAGGAGAAACAAGCATATTAAACAAAGAAAAGTAATAATAATGACAATAGAAAAGAATGAATTGATGCATTTGGGTTATATGCCCTCCAGGTAGCAATACTTGTACAATAGTAAGCTTTCAGCTAGGAACTTTAGTAAATCCTGCTGCTGATGATTTTTACGTGTGAGAAATTAGCAAATTAGTTCTAAGTATATGTTGATAAGGAACTTCACAAAATCGATATACATGCGACCGGACTTCAAGGTTGATTGATTGAATCACATAAATTGGCTAGACTGGGCGTACTTACCCATCTCGGACACTACTAACTACACAAAAACATTGAATTCCATGTAGATTTGTTGTTTTCGCTGCATGTGTCAGGGGTTCTACTGCGCTCAAGACACACTTACTAGGAGTATACTTGGCTTTACCCAGCGACGGTTGGCCGTCTTGATGGCTGGGGTCGGAGAAATAATCCATCACTGATGACGGAAGACATTGGGAAAGTTGATCTACCAAACCAACCATCTTCGTTCAACCAAAACAGTATTGCTATTGGAATTACCTCATACAGGTTATGGCCACATCGCCGGATTAATAATTTTCTTTTCTTTTCCATTTTCTTTATTTTTACAGCTTACTACCTGGGTTGGTAAAAGCCGAAACCGCACTTAGGCGAGGCCCTGTATCGAGTACTTAGTAAGTACTATTACTTACTGGTCCGGAACGGACTTGATTGAGATTGGCCAGTACGCAAAACCCTTGAACTTGGAAGTTAGGTCTATTTCTTTAGGTACTATTTTACATGGCATTCTGTATCACAGAAATAGCATAGCCATAGCCCATTATCAACATTTGCCCCAACTTCAGACCGCCTTAAAAGAGGGGTCTGGTGTTTCCCTCGGCCGATGTTAGCCGAGAAAGTTTGAGTCTATCTTATTTAGAATGAGACCACGTTTGTATTTTTCTTCTCTCACGATATACACTGTGTTTGTTTTTGTTCCTTGGCCACCCTCACCTACCCTCCCTGAACTAGTAGAGAACAGCCCAATCAATACCTCGGTAAGTAGTAGCATCTTCATCATCCCGAAAACAGCAGTCGTAGGTGTTCATATTTTAAGATTGGCAGGACCGTTCACAAAACTGGCCTATAGAGTAAGGCTCTGACCCCGAATTCCCCGGGTTATAGTGGGTCTCCTATGAACCAAGTCCTAAGTACTCATAGACTAGTAACTAGTACTTCGAATGTCTCTTTCACGCAACGGCTGCATGCAAATCGGGTTTTCCTGGACAGGCATCACCTGATCCGGCAGGTCCTACATGGGCCTCAGGGACCGAGATACTCGTAGACAGAACCCATAATCTGTAGCCTTTCTCAATCACAACTAGTACCGCATTAGGAACGTCCACAATACCTCCCGTTTTCAAGGTACCAACGGCGGGCAAAAATCAACAATAACACTGGTGTAGACCAGTAGCTCCTGAACACGTGATCAACATTGTGTTGTTCCTGATCAGAGAGGGATGAAGGTATGCCACTTTGTTGACTCACAGCAGTCTACAGCTTCATACAAACTTTGGCACCATCCCTGACCTAGTGGCTGTCATCTTGTGCGCCGTAGCCTAATGATTTTCCCGGGAACGCTAGAGCATACTAGTGTACGACCTCCCGGGACAATTGCTCTTCAAAGACGAGGGAATGCGGTCTTCATCGGAAGTGTCAAAGAAACTTCTCAAAATTTCAGATTTCGGTCTTGTTGTAGTGTAGTGTAGGTAGTCCTGTCTGCTGTCTTTGTCTCCGATCAAACTTCTATTGGGGCTTTCTTCTTCTTATTTTTTATTTCTTATTTTTTTATTGCCATTTTTGCAGAAATACGAATCGAGGGGTTCCAAAGAGGGTAAAACAAATGCAGATAAAAAATTAAAAGAAAAATGAATAGCAAGGAAGACAACCCGAAAGAGGAGGGACGTGTGAAAAATGAAGAGCAAATGAGGGTCTCTCTTTCAGTGGATTAACTACTAAGTGATTCCGAGTCCTTCTCTTTTCTGACGAATTAGGAGTGTTGCGGGCTGCAATACCGATCCCAAATACCCGTCTTCGGCTTCACGGAGGTGGATTCTTTCTTTTTTTCTTCTTTCATTTGATCTTAACCTTGGATGTGCTCCGCATAGTAATCCGAGGAAGAAGCAACAAACGGGATCTCAGCTTGTTCAGATGCTTTTTGGTCTGAGAGCGTGGTAATCCACACCGGTCCAGCGTATCAGCTTCTCTTGTTCAACTTAAAACCCCTTCGGTAACTGTAAAGTAAAGTAAAGTAACCGAATTAAGAATGTGTTGTCTTCATTCGTGGGTACCTTAGGTAATTCCCTTCAAGCTAAACTCGATCCAGGGAAAGGTAAAAAGAAAAAGTGGACGTTTTGACTTCTGTACTTTATCCGTACTGTGAGCCAAATCCCCGAAACGTCTGGCCAGTCCGTCTCAGCTCTTTCTCTCTCTCTTCTCTCTTCTCTCTGGCGCGCGCTCTCTGTCTGTCTGGTCTCCAGTCCCTCCACTCTTCCCCCCTCCCCTCCCCTCCCCTCCACTCCACTCTCCTCTCCTCTTACCAGTTCATTTTCTTTCTTTATTTTTCTTCTTCTATTTACTTTTCTAATTTGTTTTTTCATTTCTATTCTTTTTTCTAACCTTTTTTTATTTTTTGTTTCTCACTTTCCCCTTCTCCACCATCCGCCCCTCTCTTGCTGGCTCTTGCTGCGGCCCCATCGCCGGGTCCGTCTGCCTGGCCCTTCCTCTCTTATCTCCTCCCGAAATCCCCATCCATGCCAGCCTAGGCTCGCTCCGGATCTTGTCTAGTGAATCGTTAACTTCTTTGGACGCTCTTTCCCTGAGGAATCACTCCCGTCTCCACCAACCAAAAGCTGCTTTCTCCAAATGCACTGACTTCGGGCGAATCCGATCCACTCCAGGCGGTGGCTGCTTGCTGCTCCTGCTATCACTATTACCACTACTACTTCTATTACTCCTACTACTTACTTACTTACACTCCGCATTTCTTCATGATCTTTTCCTACTTGCTACTACTTGCTGCAAACTACAACTACCGCCACTACTGCTCCTCCTCCTCCTCCTCCTCCTCCTCTTCCACCTCTTCCACCTCTTTCTCCCCTTCTCCCCTTCTTGTACCTTCCCGGTACTTTGCCATTACTCTTTCTTATCCCACTTTAGGTGATCTACTCCCCTCCTCCTTCCTCGTCTTCTTTTGTCCCCAAATCGCGCCAGTTACGTCCGCGGCTGGCTTCTCTTTGGGTCCAACCCTTCCATGTACTCTCCCCCCTCTAGCTTAACCCGCGTCCTCCGCGCTCGTCGCGACCGTTCTGCTTCATCCTTGCCGATATCGACTCGTCTTTGAACTCTGTCCTTCGTCGACCTCTTCATGCACTTTCATCCGGCCTCTTCTACCTATTGAGTCTGAACGCTTCCCGGCATATTAAAGATACCGATTTTACCTCAATCATCTCGGTTGTCCTAAACGCATCGTGTCCTGCCGCCCCGCCATGGAGGGCTTTGATACCATGGCTATGCCTTACCTGGCCAGCCCGTTATCGCTCGGTAATATGCAGAGCACCGACTACCTCAATTCAATGTCCGGCATGGACCTGCCTGAACAACGTTCTAATTTCGACTCCGAAACATTCGTGAGGTGAGTTGAGCTGACATCCTTCCCTCCATAGTTCGCGTCTGACATACAATCCCGCTAGTGGGGACGACATCGCATTTTCTCAACATGCTTTACCTCCCGCATCGTTGAAACGATTTCCCTCTGGTTATGAAGATCCATTTACAGACATGGTCGCTCCGTTCGAACCTGCGCCGCCCGAGCAACCTCCTGATTCTATAGATCATAACAATAAACTACTGAGCTTCTCCATGCCTGCGTACGGCTTCACTCTCTTAGATTACTCTCTACGCCGCACCTCAATATCGCTCTCTGCTCAGCTGCACGGCATGTTCTTTCTTGCAGAGTCGCCTTGGACCACATCCCCTGCTGAGAATGCCCCGCCTCAGCAGGGAGCGGAGCTGACGTGCTACCGCCGAAACCTGTTTCAGATAACAGGCTCTGTTACCCTCCCACGGAGCTTACGCTACATTATGACGGAGCAAGGCGACCGGATCCCTATTTTGGCCCAAGAACTCACTGTGTCTGCTACGGAGTCCGTTGAAGGCAATTCCGTCAAGATAATCTCGGTTCCGTGGAAGACACCCGCCGCAAATGTGAATCCTACAGCTGAAGATGGGAACAATGTTTCCAGCGGAAACGGCGGTAACCCTAATAGCAACAATCCTACTATCAAGGTTGAAAAGGAGCCACCTCCGATTCCATTAGATATCATGGCCGGACAAGACCTTGATACTGACTACGCCACCTTCCCTATTGCCTGGAAACGACTTCAATTCCGCGTTGCTACTGCGAATAATGGGCGCAGAAAAGAGCTCCAACAACACTTCGTTATTCGTTTGAAGGTTGTAGCTACGCTGTCTACCGGTGCCAAGATACCAGTCTGCGAGGTACAGTCGGGCCCTGTCATAGTCCGGGGCCGGAGCCCACGCAATTTCCAGTCTCGCAAGGACTTGCCATTGAGCAACAGTGCTGCGGCGTCACGCAAAAGCGCACAAGCAGCTCAGTCGGCTGCTGTCAACCGAACCCCAACCGGTGATTCTGCGCCACATGCACCGGCCAAGGCCAAAGCCACATTGAAGAGCAGTTCCCCAGAGACGTCTACTTCCCAAGGTGGTGTAGTTGGCCAACAAGCTTCCCCGGATTGGGCGCAAGTGCCGCCTCCCGTTGGCGGTGCGCATCCATCGACGACTTTGCCTCACTCGACGGTATATACTCAGTCTAGCCCGGAGTTCTCACGGCCTACAGAAGCCCAGCGACATCCAGTTGCCGCCCCCATCAATCTATCGCTCCTTGAAGATGATGATGGCAATGATTCGGTCAACCCAGCTGATTCGGCCAGGCCGGCCTCCTCATATACAAATGATATGTCACACAAGCTCATGAACATGGATAATTCTGCAGCCCCTCCGGCCAAGATGCGCAAGTTGTCTCATGGCTTACCCGAAACACAATCGCGAAGCTCGTCCTCTTTACCCTTACTGAATAATACCAATATGCAGCAGCCCTTCGCTTCGACGCTCCCATTTCCAAATGAGAGCGCTGACTTGTTATATGAGTATTTCCCCTTGGGCTTGGATGATTGGCAAGCACCAGTCGATGCAGTATATCGACCACATGTAGTGCACCATACAAACCTACCTGAAGTGAAGTTTGTTGCTGCGCGCGGACGAAGCAAACGATATTTCGCTGCAGAAGATGTCTTTTGACGAAGAAATGGGTGATGAGAGCCATCGGGGTTGGTTTCATGCATCTGCAGTCGGGCTTGAGAGCAATTTCCTAGACTCCAGCAACTGCTCCAATTGTTTCTTTGATTGCTTGTGCATCCTGCGTTCGCCCACACTGCCTGGCAGGCTGGTTGAATATGAACTAGAGCTCTTCCTCTGGCAGACACCAGCCTAGTCCGTCACTTCCATCTTCCTGTTTGCCCTTTCACGCATCCTTCTTCCACCACGCTCCGTTCCCCTTATCTCCTGTCTCGCTTCTATACTTTCTCGTCTTTATCTGGGTTGTTTTCTCTCTCTCTCTCTTCCTCTCTATTTATTCCCCCTCCCATCTGGGTCTTGGGATGTACGGTTATTTATACGACCCTTCCCTGGTAAGGATAAGTCGCGGCGCGATGGAGTCACGGATAGGAAGCGGCTTTTGGTCTTTGCGCCTTTCGGGCGTGATTCTCTTCGATTATCCTTTTTTTTTTTTTTTTTTTCTTTTTTTTTTTTCTTTAACACCTTTCTTCCACTCTATTTCTCGGACTCGGCTCCCTATTCATTTGTGTTTCTCAGGTTGCCGTCCTTCTTCCATCATCCTGCTTTCTTCTTCTGGTTGCATATATGTGAAAGGAGGTTTTGTCTGGTAATTATTTTCGCCGGCTACGGGACCGAAGAAAGAGTATTGCTCGGCTGGTCGTCTGGAACGTTCCTGTACCAAAATTTGTTGTTACATTTGTCTTCATCAGTCGGTATCTGTGATGCACTGCACTTGCGTTTTGTGCGCACTGTTTTGGTTTTATATGGGGAAACTACAATGTGTAATAATTATCCACGCTGAACGAATTGCAGGTATACACGGTACTAGCCCTTACAATATACATGTTGACGTGAATTTACTTCATGCGAGCATGGAGTAGAACCTGCCCCATTGTATCTGTGACAACACTCTAGCCAAGTTTTCGTAGAAAGTTCGGTTTCTGATCTAGCTAGCCGACACTCCGGGCTAGTACAGAATATGAGCAACAGGTTCCTTAAAGGTTGGTGTAGTTAGAGATAGCCAAGGCCATCACCACTAATGGCCTCAAGGTCGGCCTTTATCTCCCATTCACGTGCACCCACGCGTCCTGCGATCTCTGTCTTGCGTTGCTTGCTCATATCTATCCATTTAAACAAGAGATTACCGTCGAGCATACCCCTACCAGCTGTGCCATCGCTCTCCACAGCTCGGAAGGCTCGAGGATTGAGACCGCAGGGATGTTCCAGTGTATTCGTCAGTTGTGACTGTAAAGCAGACAATCTGCGGTATGACTCTTCAGGCATGCAGGTAATCAAGCCAAGAGAGCCGTTCTGTGTGGTCATCAGGACTTGGTGGAGGGCGCTCTGGTTGTCGATATCCATGTCGTCCGAGTTGGAAATCATCTTCTCTGAAGAGACCATTGTACGTGGTAGAAGAGTCAACGTGGAGGCGAAGTTGCCCGTATGAAATTTACTGCGGCTAAGCAGCTTGTCACCGTTCGAGGATTTGGGATCTGTTGCAATTAGCTGAGTCCTTGAGTAATCCTTTTGGCTGTCCAGTCCTACCTTCCGGATCATACTGCAATACATGGATGTTGCAATCGCTGTCAGCCACAACAATGAATAGCCTTTTACCGTCTGGAAGAAATTCAGCCGCGGACACTTCAAGGTAGTCTAAATCCTTGGCAAAAAGGCTCATTTTGTAGGGCTCCTCCTAGAAAGCGGACATGTTAGCTTGATTGCTCATGTTGGTTCCATAGTGACCGAGCATGGGGACAATACCGAATAGCCTGCGAACCATATCCCTTTCACGGCATCGCCAAGGATGCACATCCCAGTGCCTTTGAGCTCTTTCACGACACTGACATAACACTGCATATCCATGAAAGCAACAGGGAGAAGGCTACCATCCTCCTTGAGGCCTCTGACCATACACTTTTGTCCTTGTGCAACCAGGACGAAGCCCTGGCCGCCGATTTCAGATAGGGCAGTCACGGCGCCCTTCACTGATTCTTTACCGATAAGCTTCAACTTGCGATCTGTCTCAGGGTCGTCTGGGTCTGGAACAACCTGCACGACCTCGAAAACATAGATGCAGCCGCGTGAGGGTATGTCTTCGCCCCGGGCGAACGCAGTACCCACGACGATCAAGTCCTTGCGTTCGTGGGTGTTTTCCGATATTTCAAGGCTTATGTTCTTGATTGCCATGACGTACTCGTCTGTGCCGAGGGAATAACTGTGCAAGTGAAGAGTTAGGATGACCTAGTCTTAACGCTGCAGATGATGACTTCATACCTGTCGATGACAGACCATGTATTGGGGCTAACAAGCTTTATAAAGCTTCCACGCGCCGATGGGAAAAATGAAATAGCTAGACAGTTTCAGCCTGGTCCCCTGAATTGGGTAGATAGAGCACAAACCTTCATTACGCCATTCTGGGTGCAACTCGTCATCCTCGGGCAATTTGAAATCAGTTGCATGACACGTCCCTAGTACGTACATCCCGGAAGAGGTGGAATAAGCTAAGTGATCAACTTGTTCTCCTAATTGCACCTTTTTCAAAGTCCACTGGTAATCGAATCGTGTCATAGGGGGCAGCTGACAAAATCGAACCGTACTCTGCCCACTAGGTTAGCATATCAATATAACGAATTATCCTGTCATTGCGAACCTGCGAGTCCATAGAGATAAATCCCCTACTACATTCAGAGGTATCTAAGCTGCTTACGCACCGGGGACTTTCCCCTCTTAAGCGCAGAAAGTGTGGCGCACTTGCAGATGTTCTGAGAACGAAGCCTGCTGAAGCACCAGGCATGAATACAGCACTGAGTCCCGAGATATCGGGCAGGATGCGCAGTGGCCTAGCCCTATAATCTGACCCACTGGGCTGTGTTGAGTCGACATCAGGTGAGATCATCGGCAGAGCACTGTTGTTTTCTTTGGAAAACTTCAGGGTGTGAATCTCTCCGGTTGGACCTGTTGGAATCACAAAAGGTTTGTAGATTATCAAGTCATCGGTTTCAGATCGTAACTATCAGGGCTTCGGTTAGCGCACCAGAGCTAGTGATGAGAGGCGGTCTAGAGTGACCAGTATGGTGGCATACAATCAAGTACGGCGAAGCACTCCATGTTTCACCGAGATCAGCAACGATTGCCTCTATCAAATTTTCACGTGTGCCAGACCGCTTGGGTGGCTCACTGGATAACAGAGGTGACAGGCCGTCCAGCCCCTCGATTATCGATAGCAGCTTTTGATCGCGGACGCGATATACCTGATGATTTGGGAAGCATTAGATGCCATCAACGCAGGGTAGAAGACGACCAGAGCAGAAAATCTCGCGTAGTGGGTTCATGATACTTACGAAGAGCTTGGAATCATGGCTGAGTAGGAATAGAAACATATCGTTCTTGACCGGCTCACTCAATGTTCGATCGATGGAGGAAAACAACCCAGTTTTATCGCTGTACAAGCAACAGGATATCCACTTTCCAGACGCCACATCCTCACCAAGGACTACTTCATCAAGGTCTCCACTGTCGTCTGCTTGAAGGAACAATAACGTAGAATCGTCCCGTAGGATTGCAAGACAAGAGTCGGCCAAACTGGCACTAACAGCCATTCGTTCATCATTGGTGTCATCGTCCCATATCGGGTATATTTGAGTTAAACCCAGGTCTGTTCCATCAGAAAAGTTACATCGACACCGGGCTCGTTGTGAACTTACCAATGTCATAACTCCGCACCTCGTTCTTCAGGACTTGAACCACGCGCTTCCTGCTTTCCTGTGTCCCAATGTTAATTGTCACATCTTCGTTGGGATTAAAATCGGGCGCTCTGAAAGGCTTTAGATCATGGCCATCCACAACGAAGATGAGCGATTCTTCCCTATCGGAAGCTTTGGCCTCTGTTGCAATAACATAGTATCGCTGCGATCGTTGCCCTATCTTCTCAGACGTTCTCGACACAGCTTCTTCCTCCCAGGTCAATGAAGCTGTCCAGATACTGTCTACTGACTCAAGTGAAATTGAGGCGACGACATGGGGATCGATCTCGCGGGCCATTACTACCAAACCGCCACTTTTGTGTGAGCCTTGGGAAGCTACTATTTGCAGCTCTGGGGAAGTACTATTAGTACGATCGCCTCCCTTTTCTTGGTTCGTGGGTAGCTTCCTTCCCATGGTTATGTCCCTCAAAGGGCCAATGTTGATAAGCTTATCGTGCATCCGGAAGTCATACAGCCCGAAAGCAGATGATTCTCCTGACGGACGGCGGCCGGTAAGTGTTGTGTCCGGGGACGTAGAATAAAGATCGTCTTCATACACATCGTCCTCACTCTGGTCCTCTTCTGACATATCTGCAGAGTCATCTATCGCTTGCTTTGCTTGCAGACGGTGCTTTTTTGTGCTGGAGGATGAACAAGTATAGCCTAAAAGCACCGAATCGCCATCCTCGCTGCCCAGGAAAAGTTTCCCATCACCTATGAAGGTTGAAGCAGCTGCCGCGGAATTCATGGAGGTAAGGCCTGCGTGAGCCGGCAGCAGGTGAACCGAGATCCCAGAGACTGACCTCCCATCTAACTTGAATTTCACGATGGCCATCTCCCCGGTAGAAAGCACCAAAAGCATGTCCCCGCTGCTATCCCCGAGACACTCAACGATACAATTCTCAAGACGTAGTGCCAAATCGGATTGGTCTGTCATAGAAAATGATGAAACTTGTCTTGAGAACTCGTTAACTCCAACGGCATTTGTCTTGCCTGCCTGGTCAATATGCACTAATTCATTGGACCCGATCAATAAAGCACCGCCGACAGGAGGTGGGAGGGCCACCACCCTAAACAGATCACTAGGCAGCCTTGACACGGAAAGTAATATCGTGGATGCTTGCTGCTCCAAATCTAGCGTAAACACAGTATAGAAAACCACGTCTTTTCTTTCAGGCAGGAGGGCACTTGATGTTGCAACTTGAGAATATAATATGCCAAAGGTCGGTTCCCTATACTCGTATAGGAAAGCAAGGCTTATCGGGTGAAGTATGGAAGGATCCAATGCCGTCAAGGGCAGAACAAAAGACGGGGCATATGGAGTTTGATACGCAATACCCTCTTTGGCCTTATCAGTGCCACCTCCGAGATCGTGGTCAGTTGACATTCCTTCCCCGAGGTCTGACCCATAATCATCCATCACCAGGTCATCTCCTGGCTGGTGGAAAGGAATAATGGCGAGATTCCGAATTCCAAAGTTGAATATTGCACATCTACTGCTTGGGTCCACACTGAGGATGCTGCCACAGTTTTTCAGGTCAGGAACCCATGGACTACGGGTCAGATCATCTCGCTCGTAATAATGAATGGAGATGGTGGAGATGCTTCGACGCTCTGGGTCCCATTCAATCAAGCTAAGTTTGGCATTCCGAAAGGCGACCAAAACAGCTTCTCCGCCGCTCCTGCTGTTGAGAACCTTGACCCGACAAAGACCAGTTACAGTTCCCGAAAGTGAATACTCTTTTTCCAGGAGGAGCTTCGTCAATTCCTGCTGGGCGTCGGCTCCTTCCGCATGGGAGGTAACTTTATGCAGCGAATAGATCTGAAGCAGTGATGTTCTAACCACGATCAGATCATTTGATGTTGCCGCAAGGAAAGGGACCGCCAAAGCATGGGTGACCCCAGTCGGGGGCAATAGTTCAGTATAGCACTGCATCATGCGTTTGCCAAACCAGAAAATTGCTTTGCCCAGGAGTGTTTGACTCTCCTCGTCAAACCCAGTTTACTTTACTGCCCTGCGCAAAAGGCAGCATTGCCAGGAAAGTAAGAAAGGGCTAAGCGGATGATTGTTGTGAATAAAGGGAATGATTGTGTTAAGCCTGGGATGACGGCGACGAAAATAAATAGTAAACCCAAGCTTTATCATAACATTCCTAGCTGGGACGGGCATGATTGGAGGTTCCGTGCTTCAAGTGCGACGCAACACGTGACAATACATCTGGCCGCCCAGACGATGACGTAATACATGCGGACTTTTTGACCCCAAAAAGAACGTTAATTGTTGGTGGTCCTCAACAACTAATCTATTTTTCTACCTGCCTGCCTTGCTTATACCTATCGTCATGCCCGTCTTGAGTGATTTGGGTATGAATACAACTTGAAACAGAATAGGATCTAGCTCGTCTATCCATCTACTCCGATGTGAAAATTCCATCGGATCTGGAGTCCTGACAATACATGCACCCAACCCTTTGCGGAACTGTTGTCTTTCGCCTTTCGTAGGGCCTAATCTATCCCTATAACCAAGATGGCCCTCTTACAAACATCCCTTATATGGGCAGTATACGCTATTGTGGTAGCTGTTCTGGTAATGGTAGCGTCGGTGTTCATCTATACATATCAAACGCCTCGGGATCGCTCTTCAGTTGTGACCTTCACGTGTATTGTCGCGATTACAAGCTTACTTGCCACTGTTCTCTTGTTGCCCGTGGATGTTGCTTTAATATCCTCTACCACATCCTCGAAGCTTGGTCAAAGAAAACCTTGGGCCACTCAGGATGAAGTAGACAAGATTGTTTCTCTATTAACGGCTGTGTACTATCTCCTTTACTCGCTTGATGCATTCCTATGCCTTCTCGCAATCCCATTTGTCTATTTCTGGTACGAAGAATACGATGAAGTGGCTGTCGAATCCGGTGAGCAATCTGCTGCCAAACGACTCTGGACCGCGTTTAAGTACACTATCTCGTTTATTGCGATAGTGGTTGTGCTTTTCATTGTTGGCTTTCTTGTCCCTGTTTCGAATATCAAGGACAGCAATGTTTCAGACTATCTCAGGAAGCTTCTGGCTGAGAATCGTGAGATCTCCCTTCGCCTCCCTCCAACATGTCCTTATTTCCCCCTTTATTCTAAAAAAAAAGAAAGAAAGAAAGAAAGAAAGAAAGAAAGAAAATACCTGTTCATCATAACTTAATACTGATTGGTTTCCTTTTAGGTGGCGAGAGGGTCATTACATTCACCCTTGGGTTATTGATAACTCTGGGGCTGTTCCTCTATGTCTTATATACCTCAACGGGCCTTGCCGTTCTTCCCATGAGGATGATACGAGCAGCTCCATCTGTGTCAGACATGACCTGGAAAGCGTCGACAGGTGCACAGCTCGAATCTAATCGAGAGCGTCAGCGCCAGCTGGAAGGGCGCTGTAGAGGAGATCCGGGTCTCCTCTCTTCCAAGGAACGTAGAGAGCTCGATACCCTCGTTCGAGATGAGAGGACGCTTATTAGGCGGCAACGCTTGGCAGAAGAGGCTGACGGTGAAGGTCGAGGCCGATTTATGAGGGCATGGCTAAAGGTTACGGCTTTCTTCCGCCCATTAAAGCTCCTAGGCGGCATTGCCATTCTCTTAGTCGCACTCATGATATGGATATCGATGCTCTTGACGGCAATTGACAAAGCCAAGAATTCTATGTGCAAACAACGTTGCGGATACATACTCAGTCGCATTGGGGTTTTCAATCCCTTGAACTGGGTATTCGTTCAATCAGCAAAGGTATTTCCGATCGACTACGCCGTCTTTACAGTAGTTGTTTTGCTGCTGTTTGGCAGTTCAGTGGTCGGGATATCTACCATTGGCATTCGCTTTCTATGGATCAGAATATTTCGGATCAGAATGGGGCACACGTCTCCACAAGCCCTGCTGCTGACCACTGCCATGCTGATTTTGACAATACTAGCTTTGGACTATTCGATCCCCATGCTTGTTGCACCCCAGTACGCAACTTTTGGACCACAAACATTCTGTGATCGCCCCCCGGGCCAGCAATCGGATTGTTTGACTAACAAACGCCTGATCAAGCCATGCTCGGAACTAACAGACAACACGGCTGCCAAGCAAGTCTGCACACCCAGCGTCACTAGTATGTTCCTCAACCGCGTGACGATAAGCTATCCCTTTTTCGGCACAGTATTTTTCTGGTCTCAATTTATCTTTCTCGGTAAGTGGGAACCTCCAGTCTTCATAAAATCTAGCCACAGGCTTATAAGATCTAAAATCTCAGTTGTCTACTTGCTCGTCTTGGTCACCTCTTTCATCCGCCATCCGAAACTTGATGAACGTCTACTGGACCAGGAAGCTGAGGAGGCTGAGGAGGAACGGCTACTGACAAGCTCTGGGAGAGATGTTAGTGACACCTATCATAGTGTCGGAGGACGGAACAACTTCTCAACCAGAGCAGGGGAGTAGGTTATTTGGACGTATATGGCCTTATCAAGTCGATATCGAGGAACGGTGATAGTCTGGATGGTAACAGTTCGGTCTAAATTATCTATTGCCATGCGAAGGAAACAGTGGAACTTCATTAAATACATTATATGATAAGCTGTGATAATGTGTAATTTTCTGCGGTTTTGGTATGGGGTCTGGAAACGGAGAGGGCTCGAAGAAACCGCCCTCGAGTAATGTTACGACTTGAGGCGGTCGTTCAATAAAGCGAGGGCACTTTCGAAAGCCTTCACAACATCGACATCTGAGTCATCGTCAGCAAAATTATACATACAAACGGGTTTAGCTGAGACTGATTTTACGTACAGTGTTTACGTTTCAGTTCTAGATCTTCTTCAGATGTCTGAACATGTTTCATTTGTGTCTTAAATCTACAATAACATCAGTGATTGTGTTGAAGACTTCGGGGACTTGGGAGGACCAACCTTTTTAAAGCTCTGATTTCATCGCGCATAACAGTTGTCTCCGACCACGCCATGAAGATCTAAAAGAGAATATCAGATAAAGGTCACGAGATCAATGACGGCTGTAAACACCTCAAGCAACTTGGCCACACGGTTACGTAAGTCTCTTTCAGCATTTTCATGCTTTTCCATAGAAGTGATGTATTCTTCTTGGAGTTGGTCCCAATCATAGTCCATTAGGTTTCCTGGAGGTGGAGACATATACTGCTGGAGGGTCTTCAGAGACTCGGTGCGAAGGTCGTTCTGATGCAGATCACTCCCCGGGAAATTGGAGCCTGCAAAGTCCCTGTTTAGAGAAGTCATGCCGATGATTAGACTATAGCTTCTCGGGCTAAGAATCAGCGTCGAATAGGAGCAGGAGCAGTAGCGATAGATACAGAGAAGTGAGATCTAAATATATCGTGCAGAAATGGACCGCGTGTTATTGCCGACCATGCTCACGTTCGATGCTGAACTAACTGGGTATGTACCAGGGGAACCCTGTCAAATGTTAGCATACGCACCATAGAAATATGCGTGGCTCAACTTACACCGCCTAGCGCTAGAACTTGCTCTTTTTGAGTGTATGGCAGAAGTACGCAATTTGTTGAACTTATCTATGGCTCAGTCTAGCATCGAAACTCCCTGAGGGGGAATCGAGATGAGTCAGGTGATCGCAACTATCCACCATTTACATCGCACATACTGCTTTCGATTGATATGTTTAGATAGGCCGAAAGTGGTGATCACCTGCAGGTCCATCTCACTGCGTCGGATTCCAATAACCGCATCATTCAGCTCCTGGAAGCCGCTGATAGTTGCGATTAAGCAGCACTATCTATATTAAAACCAATAGGCTTCTGCAAATGCAATTATACGTTTCGCTAAGGTATTCAGTGTGTGTAAGGGCAAGCCGGTTGGTATGCTCAATTAACATGCCTCATAACAATACAGCGACCTATAATATTCGTTTATACTAACAACTTCTCCGTACTGAACCGAAGCTGGTAAATTCTCAGTTGCTGATACTCGGCTATAAGTTCAGTGATACTGTTACGGATACGCACTTAAGCACAAAGGAGCGGTGTGATGATTACGACAACCGATGTCGCTTACGTAACATATATATATGTGCCTCATGTCAAACACCCAGTACATATATACGATTGGTCAGGTGACGTGACGCAAACGGCGGTCCCCTTCGTTGGCTTCAGATAAGTAAACCCAGTGACACTAATCGATCACTTATCGTCCTATGTCATCACTTAATCCGATTAAGACATGAGTGCCCCCCTTTTTCATGATTTGTTCATGCAACCTACGTGCTCGAAGCCAGACAGTCGAGTTGGTATTCCATCACCGGAAGCCCAAGGCCATGCGACTGTGAGCTACGGCGGTATCGATCAACCGAGAGTGAGACAAAGCTTTTTGAGATGAGCTGTCATACATGTTTTCGCGCTCCAGCTTCGCGAACCCGGTTTTTCTGCCCTACCTGTGCCCGTAGTCAGCTGTATCAGCTCCGGGTTGAGAACGCGAGGGTCCTTCTTGAGAAACAGTCTATTGGGGAACATATCCAAGCTAGAGTGACCCCTGAGACAACCCAAGCGGAATGGTCGGGTGAAATCAAAGAAACCGCCATTGCTTACCAAAATGGGCTCTCTGCCAAGCGAAGCTTACAGATGATCGCTAAGGGAGAAGCCGAGTCGTGTGAAAGGTTGAGGCTACTCGGTGATCAACTCGAAAACCTGACTGCTGAGATCAAGGACAAAAGACTTGAAATTTCCCAACGCAGGCTCGCACTAGCGCGACGGCACTCGGACTCTGAATCTGCACAGTATCAGCTCGGCGAGCGGGAAGCTGCAATTCTGGCCAACATCCAGAATAATACTAAGAGGACGGATCATCTCTGGCATTCGCTCCATAGCAAAACTGCAGAGGCCCGAATATTCCTCTGCCGAGAAGCTGCCAATCTTTATGGGCTACAGCGGAAGACAAGGAGTAAGGAAGGATTGTCCCAAGAGGTCTACACGATGGGTGGTATAGATATCATCGATTTGAGGGACATGAACGGAAAGTTACAGCTCTGCGACTTTTGATTTATATCAGTTAGTAATGATTTGGACAGGTGTCACGCCAGCTTATATATCCACCTCCCTCTTCAATGTTGCTCACCTTCTCGTCCTTGTTTCGCATTATCTGTCTCTCAGACTCCCAGCGGAAATCACTTTACCTCATAAAGACCATCCTATACCCACTATATGCGCACCTTCTGCGTCCTATCTTTCACGAGATCCAAATTCCGTAACATATTCGCTACGTCATCCACCATCTGTACCGCCTGGAACTAGAACCGCATCGCCTCGCCCTTCCAGACCTCGGCCCCTCTCCATCGACAGAGCACTTCCGAAACTGGCTAGGGAAGACCCTGGAACATATGCACTATTTCTTGAAGGGGTAACATTACTGGCATGGAATGTGTCGTGGCTATGTCGAACTCAAGGTATAAACATAACATCAGAGTCCTGGGAAGAAGTTTGTAACGTTGGGAAGAATTTGTGGCAACTCCTTGTGGCACCACCTGCGCAGCCATCGACACTATCAAGAGCCTTTGCTGGACGCGACATACAGGCGAAGATGAGGGTATCAAAGGACTCACCCAAAACTACCATTCAGCGCACAATGTCATTCCCTATGCTAGGGCATTACTCGCATGGGACTGCACATTCCTTTCTGGGTGCTGTCGAGGGGGCTGAATTCATGCGCACATGGAGACTTCCAACTCCAACAAAGATCGTGGATAAGCTGAAATCAACTCTATTGGGTGAAATGGCCAGTGCAGAATGGGAGCTGCTGGAAGGCGATTGGGACGACGCAAGTCAGGAACCGAGGGAATCAATGCTTATTCAACATCCATCCACCGATTCTACCTCACCGGAGCGACAGGGTAATACTAATAGCGGGAATAGCGTAAATGATACAGTTGCCGGCGCGAGCAACCTCAGTGGACCTCGTGGACCCACTCGTATGAAGGGTACCAGTGGCTGGACCAAGCAGAGAAACAGGTAGTATTGAATTGAAGAAATTCTACGAAATAGATAGATAGATTTCCATTAGCCAACAGCGCCTGCCAAGAAGTACATTACACTTAGTATTCTTTTCCTCCCTTATCAAGAAATCTGGGTGAGAATCATCAGATACTAACGTGGCCGTACGGAGAGACCCCTTCGGCCGCACTTATATCTCTCCGAATTGGATTCGACTACCCCGTATGGGGTACTTCAAGGAGCTACGTCCTGCTCTTTACAGCATACTATTATGCCCATATAGAGTAGCAACTGATACTAACAGATGTTACCCTAGTATATTCTTGAGCCTCAATAATAGCCATTGAAACATCTGTGGTGTGCATCTCGTACGTCCCTCCTTCGAGATTATCCAGATTAGATTATCCAGATTAGTCAATCCAACAATCAATTGCGCAGCGATTTGATTAGATAAGCGAGAACTACGGAACTGATTGATAAGATTATCTGGACAAACGAGCCGCGTGTCCGGATTACCGGCAAAGTCTCCCTACATGTCGAATAGGCGTTCTCTCCTTTAGACATGGTAGGTGCATCACGTCATTGAGACTGCTCGCTGCCAGAACTTCCGGTGTTATCCCTCTCGCAGAAGCTACTGTATGTGCTCGCTGCATTGTAAAATTGTCAACTGCTGACGCGACTTAGGCTGCTTCTGAACCGTTCGTGAGCCTGTGCCGGCGCCCAGTGCATGTTTTCAGGTCATGGATGCGGCGAGAGTACATCGTTACATGACATTTAGCCGAGAATGGACGGAAACCAAAGGCCGGGTCAGACCGACCCTAGTAGTTTAGGTAAGTTCAGTTCAAAGGGAACATAATGTGGGAGACGCACATATATCTCTCTTTTTGCCTTGACCGGTCCAACTCCCAACCTGCTCCGCTCCGCACGGCATAGTTTCGTTCTCTACTAACGCGAATATTTGTCTGCAGGGATTGAATATATGTTCTCATTAATCTCCGATATTCCTGAATCTGTTTTGCGGACGGAGCTTTCCCGACGAAGTTATGCTCGGGCTTCTAACGATGACACCTCGACTTGCGGATCAAGGGAGCGAGGCGCCTATAACACGCCGATACATGTCTTTGCACTGTTCCTTATCCTTGTGCTTAGCACGCTAGGTACAGTTTACTTTCTCTTTGGCTTCTTGGGTGATTGGCTGTTAACCCATGGTTATATTAGCGTGCTCATTCCCCGTTCTTGCTCGTCGGTTCCCGCGCCTCCCAATTCCACGCCGGTTCCTTTTCCTTTCTAGACACTTCGGAACAGGCGTACTCATTGCAACAGCCTTCGTACACCTCCTCCCTACAGCATTTGTCTCATTGACCGACCCTTGTCTCCCTCGTTTCTGGAGCGAGACCTATCGTGCCATGGCCGGCTTTGTGGCTATGATTGCCGTATTCGTGGTGGTTCTCGTTGAGATGTTCTTTGCACTGAAAGGTGCGGGCCATGTCCATGGGAGCGAATACGACCAGTTGATCAGCGACGTCGGCGCAGATCTCGCAAGTGACGATCAAGAGGAAGACAATGACTACGGAAACGGATTGGCCGACAATGTCCACCTTGACAGCCTTGGGGAAGGCATGACTCTACACTCTCCCACGTCACTTGGAAGATCCCCGGTCAGTGGGCCTTCAGGGTCAAACATTAAGGATTCGGCTGTGTCTACCGAACTCAACGACAGGGAATTTGAAGAACCAAGTGCCTTCGAAAATACGCGCGGCAATTCCCATAAGAACCGGGATGAGCAGCCGTGGCATTCTGGTCACCGTCGGTCTCATAGTAGCATACATCAGGGGACCGACCTCGAGTCATCCAGGCAAAATCCACAGCGCCAATTGCTTCAATGCTTGTTGCTCGAAGCCGGAATTCTCTTCCACAGTATTTTCATCGGAATGGCCCTCAGTGTTGCCACGGGTACATCATTCATCGTCCTTCTTGTGGCTATTTGCTTTCACCAGACTTTTGAAGGATTTGCTCTTGGATCACGGATAGCGTCTTTGATCCCTGATCTCTTTCCCCCATCATCGTACAGGCCGTGGCTCATGGCGCTTGCCTATGGAACCACTACCCCCATAGGGCAAGCTATGGGGCTTGTTCTGCATAACCTCTATGATCCAGCAAGTACGACAGGCTTACTCACAGTGGGAATAACTAACGCCATTAGTAGCGGGCTATTATTATTTGCGGGGCTTGTTGAACTTCTGGCAGAGGACTTCCTGAGTGAATCAAGCTATGCGACGC